TAGATAATGAAACTAGAGTGTGCAGAAGTCAAGTGACTTGCTCGTGATCACATACCTATATCTCTTAGATCATGCTTCTTTAAAATATTACTACCACTACCTGCTGCTACTACTACTACCACCACTACCACTACCTGCTGCTACTATCACAACCACTTTTAAGCCCAAACAATATATAAATCCAAACCTCATCAAAGTTGTGTTATATACTTAGGTGACCAGAGTAGCAGATTATTTTCCCAATTTATTTATTTTTATTTTTTATTTTTAGGCAATTGGGGTTAAGTGACTTGCCCAGGGTCACACAGTTAGTAAGTGTTAAGTGTTTGGTCTGAGGCTGGATTTGAACTCAGGTCTTCCTGACTCTAAGGCCAGTGCACTATCCACTGTGCCAACTAGCTGCTCCCTTTTTTTTTGTTTTTTTGGCTAGGCAATGGGGTTAAGTGACTTGCTCAGGATCACACAGCTAGTAAGTGTCATGTGTCTGAGGTCAGATTCTATCTCAGGTCCTCCTGAATTCAGTGCCGGTGCTCTATCCACTGCGTCACCTAGCTGCCTCCCTAATTTATTTTTGAACTAAAATAAATCAGCAAACATTCATAATACCTTTCCTAGGCATCATGGTTAAAAACATCCTAGTGACATATATACAAATGGTGTCATGCAGAGTCAGGCATGACTGAATAACAACAAAATCTAGAGATGAAAGTGAAGGTAGAGATAACTTTCAAAATAGTGAAAAAAGATACGTACATAGTACATAGAAAGGCAGTTGTCATCATTGACAAAGAGCTGGTTTTGGTGTCTGGAAAGCTTGGGTTTAAGTCTCACATGTGGCATATACTGGATACTTGACATGGACAGCTCATGTAACAACTCAATGGCTAAGGCTACCATCTAAGAACATAAGGTACACAGCACCTGGTTATTTGTACTGCTGAAGGAAGTTTCCTCTTTGAAAGTTTGCCTCCCTCTCAATGAAATCACAATTAAAAAAAAATAAGAGTAGACTACAAGCTATTTGAAAGCAAGGACTATGTCGCTGGTTTTTACCTACCATATAGTAGGTGCTTTTTACACAGTAGGTGCTTTCATAAATGTTTCTTGAATTGAAGTTGTGGAAAATCTTGGTGTGGAGAGCAGTTGGTTAGGGAGCCAGGACATATTTGATTCTTGACCTTGACCTGCTGTTCTGCAGTTCTGTATTTTTGGAACAGTTACTGGACTTTTCTGGGCCTTGGTTTCCTCATCTGTAAAAGTGGATAATAATGTCCATCCTGAATAAGTCACAGAAATGTTGAAGTGAGATTAAAGCAGATGAGATATTGGGAAGCACTTTGAAAAGTACAAAGCATAGGGAATATGTGAAGGATTATTGTAATTAGCCAGTCTTCTCACCAGACTACATCAAAGGATTTGAATTAGTTGTTCCAGCTTCCTTAGATGATCAGGGAAGAATCTGGTAAGGTGGTGTTTGCAACAACAATAATAATAATAATTTATATAATATATAATTTAAAATAATAATAAAAATAAAAAACAACAAAACTATTTTTAAAACCCAACAAAAAATTATGTTGAATATTTAACTTCTATGTGCAGCATACTGTTTTAGCTTTTGTAGAAAATAAAGAAATGTGACGATAACTTTATTTACATACAACTTTCGACAAGCTCTTTTTTTTTCCCCATGCACTTTGTGTACAATAGCTCATTTGGTCCTCAAAATAACCCTATAACATAGAGACTACAAAAGAGGAAAGTGGAGAGCTTCATTGAGCTTACATTACCTGGTAGGGGTCAGCTAGGTGGATAGAGTGCTGGGCCTGGAGTCATTTTCCTGATTTCGAATCTGATCTCAGATGCTTCCCTAGCTGTATGAACCTGGGTAAGTCACTTAACCCTGTTTGACTCAGTTTCCTCATCTGTAAAATGAGCTGGAGAAGGAAAAAAAAACTACTCCAGTATCTGTGCCAAGAAAACCCCAGATGGGGTCAAGAAGAGTCAGACACGAATTAATACAACAGAGCAACAACAAAGTCCTGCAGTAAATAGGTGTTAGAGGCAGTATATACATCTAGGGCTTCCAGACTCCAAGTCTAGCGTGCTACATACAATGCCATCCTCTCAGAGTAAGACATGGGCCCTTCTCTTAAGGATTTTTTAAGGTATTTTAGGAGCCTTTTTTTGGGGGGTGAAATACCCAAGCAGATAAAATCCGGTCAAATTTATGAAAAAAAAAAAAGGTGAGACACACATAAAATGAGACTAGACCAGACCTAAACAAGAGAGTAGTTGAAGGGTTAGCCAGGATAATGAAGGGTGTCTCAAGCAATCGTCTTCTGTGGCTGCTGTCCTTCCTCTCAATTTGGGCATTCAGATCTGTGTTGGACTTTTCTTATAGGGAAGATTTCATGGAGGAATAACTTCTGGGATAACTGATTTCAAGTATTCTGTCCCATTCATAGACATAAGAGTTGTCAGATCATGAGTCTTAATATTCTAGTTTGGAAAATATCATCATTACATGCAACAAAGTGCTTTAAGTGTTCAAAGAAAAGAGGGATTTTTCTGACAAGGGGAAAGGGAGGGAAAGGGTGGCATGGAGACAGATGAGTAAGAGATTGGATTTCTCACAACTTTGTGCAACTTTGAATTTTTTTTTTCCTGAATTTTTCCACCATGGTTAATTTTTCTCATAGGAAATTCCAACTTGTGAACATTTCAATGCACAAACCCAGTTCATTCTTAGAAAATAATTGTATTCCTTCCTCAACAAATTGCAGTAGAAAATGCTGATCCAGGACAGTGTAGGGTGGTAGAATGAGCACTAGATTCAGGGTCATATATATGGGTTCAAATCTAAACTCTACTACTTACTACCTGTGTGACCCTGGGCAACTCAACTCCCTTCTCCTCAATTTTCTCATCGGTAAGATAAGGTGGGTTAGACTAGTTATCTTTGGGTTTCCAAGTGAAAATGAGAATTGATTTGTAAAAAGCCCTCCAATTATTTTTCTTTAAACCTTCCATTGCCGAGATGGACCAATGGCTTGAGGAGCAGAGATTCTCATCCCATTGTGTGGTGGACAGCAGCCACAGAAGACAATTGCTCTAGACACCATACCCTAAGATCCATAGCTTTGCTTCTGGTCATGAATGAGTGATTCATGTATGCTGTTCCATACTGATGTCTTTTCAGACATCGTGTTGTAATTTCTTTTTGTCTTTTAATGAAATTCCTTCTTCAGTGGCCTTAAGAAACTGGTGAAGATCCAGAGGTCACAAAATTTTTATCCCTATCAAAGTGCTTAGTGGATCATAATATCTTGAGCTGTGAGCATGCAGATGGAAGCATCTTGAGGCATTTAGCCCCTTGTGCAAAACCTGGGATTTGTGAAATTCAGAAACATTTGTGAAATCCACAAGTATTTGAATTGGATTTCATCAGCCCCTGCAGGTGAAGAAATCTTGGGTTCTGAAAGTGCTGAAGTGAATACAAGAAATATAAGACTTACATGAAACCAAATTAGTAGCGATGTTCTTCCTTTGGGGCTGTTAAATACCCATCCAGAGGAGATAGCTATGATATTGGGATAAAAGGGTTTGTACAGAGTTTTGGAAGCTTTTAAAGAGTTGCTTGTCTTTTTCTGGTGTTTGTGAAATGTGCTGATGGTCTATGCAGAGGAAATTGAAGCAGAAGGCTTCTTCTCTGCCTGTCAAATTTCTTGACTGGAGTCAAGATAGATTATAAAGAACAAGTCAACCCCGCTCAGGTTTCTCTAGAGCCCTGGATTCTCTTCTGTCCCTCTTTCACATGTTACCTTGTATCATATTAGTGCTGCGTATGGAGTCAAATCGTATGGGTCCAAATTCTAGCCCTGAGGCATCTTGGGCAAAGCCAATTCACTTCTCTGGGGGCCTCAGTTTCCTCATTTGTAGAAAAGGGACATTGGCTTAGATAACCTCTATGGTGCCTTTCACCTCAAAATCTATATTCCAGAGTTATTGGGTACATATTTCATTTCCTTCAGTAGATGATAAACTTCTTAGATGTGCCAGGAGGGCAGAGCCTCTTTCCATCCCAGTTTCCTCATTGTCTAGGAGAGGAAACACTTAATGTTTGCTGAATTAAATTGACAACTGATTTAGCATGCAGCTTTGGTTGTAGCCACACTGAGTACTTCATGGTTAGCTGCCAAGAAAATACATCTTTGCAGCGAGGTCGCTAAGCAGCAGCGATAGCTCAGTATCTGAATTTTGGTCAACACTTCATTATTTCTTCATAGAAGAGCAGCTGGGCCAACTGAATGGCTGGGCATGCTGTCCTGTTCTCTTGTCAGACCTTGGATCCCATCCCATGTCCAGTCCAGTCCAAGCCAAATTAATGTAGCTGTGTCCATGGAGATCATGTTGCAAAACTACCCCCTCAGGCTCTTGCATTTCTTTTCTAACCGGGAAGAGCCAGGCTTTCACTCAGCATTGCAGACATGGCTCCAAAAAGAGAAAGAGAGAGGACTAGCCCATAAAATTTTTAACTGCTGGTAAAATACTGTTTATTCTTCAGTGTGAGGATCAGGGTGTTTTGTACCAGTAGTCTGAAAAAGTACACTGCTTCAGGTTGCATATTGTAGAGTAGGGGAAAAAGCATTCCCCTTAGGGGTCCAAAGACCTGAGTTCAAGTCCTTGCCCCTGCTACCTGCTAGCTAAGTGATCTTGAACAAATGACTTCTTTCTGGGCACAATTTCTTTCTCTGTAAAATGAGAGAGGTTGGGCAAGGTGAGCTGTCTTCCAGCTCTCTCCATGAATTAATTGATAACTGGGCATGGAGATAATATTTGTAAGGTGTTATATGAATGCTAACTGTTATTGCATGATAACATAACAATAAAAATAAATAACTTATAAAATTAACAATTAAATTATATAATATAATGTAATGATAATTATTACTAATGTAATTGTGCCATATTCATAAAATATATATTTTTATTTTCAGGTTATAAAAGAAGTCTACAACAATTGCAGTGGAACAGTAGATTCGGATGGGCCTTCCTCTAGTTCCCCAGTGCACAAGACAGAGCTAGAGAAGGTAATGGCATGAAAGATAAGACCAAGAATGTGGCTTCTGATTAGTTGACTCAAGCCACCTCTAATTCCTCTTGTAATGAACATATAAATCTATTGTCTTGCTTTATCTCCCCATTGGACCAAGAAAAACTATTCAATGATCTCTTTATAAACTCTGGAACCACATTCACTGGGATAACCTTGCCCAGGGAGGAGGAATGTCTCATCCTTTTGTTCATGCTTCCCTTTTCTACAAGAATGACTACTTATTGTTACCTCTTCAAGAGCCAGTCACATATTTTTGTAATACAAGTGTTATCATCTCTTCATTTCAGATTTTTAGGTTTACATTTTTTTTTAATGTTACATGGTCCTATATGGAGGATCCATGAAATAAATAAAACACACACACAAATGTGGACACAATGAGGGACAGCATGGTGTGGTAGAAATAATCCTGGGTTTGAAGACTGAGGGCTTAACTCTCTACTTCACTTTCTTTCTCTGATCCTCATCTGCAAAATCTCTTCTAATTCAGTGAATTTCAAAGGATGAGAAGGTGTAGAGGGCTTTATAGTCTGTTTTGAAAGATAGTCTGTAACCAGACATATGAAAAGACCGATCCATTGAAGTATCTAAGCATATCATCATGAATCAACGTAGTTTCCTAGTCCATCAGAGGTAGCCTGGGGTTGTGTAAAGAGCATTGGGCTTGGAGTCCCAAGGCTAAGGTTGTAGTTCCATTTCCTCTTCTTGTTAATTGAAGTCCAGTGCATCAAAAAAGTATTCATTGTTTACTATTTGTAAGGCTTTCCACCGGGCCCTGAGGATACGGAGAGAAAAGTAAACCCATTCTTGCTCCCAAGGGTCTTAGATTCTACAAACCATATTGATTTTATTTTTAGCCCTGATTTTATTCATTGACCTTTGGACAAGTTACTTGCTTTTTCAGAATCTTAGTTTTTCCTATCTCATTACATGGGGGTAATACCTATCTATTTCTAAAGTTGTTGTGAGATTCAAATGAGATAAAGGATATGAAAGCAATATATAATTTTTAAAGTGCTGCGTAAATGTGAGTTGTTACTGTTAAAGACCTTAACTTGAAAAGACCAAGATCTCCATTGCATCCTGAGCCATCTCCAATTGTCCTGATCCGTATCTGGCCACTGGACCCACATTATTCTGGAGGAGAAAGTGAAGCGGGTGACTGTACAGCCCTCTTATCTCACTTAAACTCAATTCACTTGCATGTCCTGGCATCGCCTCCCTGATGTCATGGACCTCTTTGAGAAAGAACAAATAGCAGTAGCAATTACCAAACACTGAAAATGTGCTTTTCAGAGAAGCAATTATTTGTATTTTTCCTCTCCCCCTCTACTATATTCTCTTTACTTATTGAAAGGTAAGACTATAGAAATAATGGGAAATGCTGAAACGAGCCAGTTGTTAACTCAAGGACCTTTCTTTACTCCCTTGGGTTGTAAAAGACAAGTCAAGTCAGCAAGCATTTATTAAGCACCTTGTTGTTCCAGGCACTACGGCAGGTTCCAGGGATAGCAAGAAAAGTGAAAAACAAAACCAAAACATTCCCTGGGGTTTTTCTCAGAATATTTCCTTTTCAGGGTTTACTTCTACTAACCTATGCATCAACTGGTCCTTGAATTCCCTGGAGATACATGATACACTTAATATTGGTGTTCTCTACCCCCATAGATTTGTTGTGAGGAAAAACTCACATTTTAAGACCTTCAACTAACATTTTTTTAAAAAACCTTAAAATGTTATGTAATTGTGAGTTATTTTTGCTATCATATCTATTTGACACATGTAGAAATTGAGGCTGAAGAGGTGAAGTTTCTTACACAGTTGGTTCCAACAGGGACTTGCTTGTAATTGTAAGTGGAACTGTTAGTAATTTTGCTTCCAGAAAGCATTTGCCTCATCGAATAGTGATGTGGGGAACATTAAGAGATGCTAATCAGTGTCACCAAAGGCAATGCAGATTTTGAGTGGAAGCATTTTTGGAGAGCAGATGACTTTCGCAGAACATATGAAAGACCAAACCTATGGAAGCATTTAGCAGAGTGAAGTAAATACTATAGCATCTGTTAGAATGACTGCAGGGTGGTAGTGCTTCTGTTTGATTTCCAGTGCTTTCACAGTGATGTAAGCATCTAGACTCTGTGTTCTTAGTTATCTCATTGTTAACTTTTGGGTGGATTAGGGCTTGTTCCCTTTTATTTCACATTCCAGAGCACTTTTAATTGATGCTAGACCCACCACAGAGCCAATATGACCACTACAGAAATGATCTCATCCTTTTGTCCATGCAGAAACTGTCCTCGGAGAGGCCAAGCTCAGATGGGGAGGGCGGTGCAGAAAATGGGATTACCATGTGCAACGGAAAAGAACAAGGTGAGTGGTGAGGAGGGTTCTCCATTGTTCAGATATTTGATAAAAATTCTGATTGTGTGAAATGTCTAAAGGCCAATTCGATCAACAACTTCAGTGATGTAGAAGCTAGGGGACTATCCTACCATTCAGCAGAGTGAAGGAAACCTCTTTTTGTAGATTTCAGGCCTAGCTATGATTAGTTCTCACCTTCTCAGACTTTCCCAATGTTTGAGTTTTATTTTATTTTATTTATTTAAGAACCCCAACAAAAGTTCTTAAGTGAAACACAATAAAAGACAATGTAGTGTAATAGGAAAAGCGATGTGTCTGGAGTTCTAAGCCCTCGGTTCAAATCTTGTTTCCTACCTGTTTATTACCCTCTTGGGCAAGTTATCTCATCTCTCAAGGAAACTTGAGTTCCAATCAGTGCTTAGCACAGCTCTTGGCACATAGTAAATACTTGATAAATGCTTGTTGGCTGACTGAAGAGATAAGATCTCTGATCATGGAGCAGTTTTTTCTTCATGTGACTCTACGTAAGTCATTTGGAGACAGTATCTATACTATATTAGTTTCATATGGAAACAGGATTCATTGGTTCTAAAAGGACATAGGTAGGACATCTCTCAGATCGTTTGAGATTCCCAGGAGACCCACCTGCTACACAGGGGTTGTTGTGAACAGCTGGAATCACTTGGAGGCTGACTGTGGGAGCATTATTATTTCCACCACTGGCCACAGTGATGCAGAGTATTCAGGGGAGTTAGCAGAAGAAACATCACTAGTGTACCATCAGACAGACTGTACTGGAGGAGGAGAGGCCAAGAGTTCTGGAAGGAGGGGTTCATGGCGGTGTCTATTTTGTTGAAGCCTCCTTGCAGTGAGTTATATAGAGAATGAGGGAGACAATATGACTATAAAACTGGATTTCAGATCCAGGCTTGTCTTGTCTTGGTTGGAATTTATTCCCATTCCTAGAGAAAGGGTATCTGGTGTCCTGCAACCAGGACATGACGTTGGGGGCCTTTGTCTTATTAGTGCATATTCTAATCAATTGAGATGATCATCAGTTCACCTCAGCAAACATTTATTAAGCTCCTACTACATACACAGCGCAAGGCTTGACCTTGAGAGAGACGCCAGCCTTGCCCTCGTAGGCCTCACATTCTAGAATGACATAGGTGAAATGCAATGGAAAATAAAACATGGTAAATGTCTTATAATGTAAGAAGGGAAGGTTATGCTGACTTGGTGGCCAGGAGGATCAGGAGGAGGACTTCTTGGAGAAAGTGGTATTTACCACAGGCAATAGAACCAAAGGGAGGTCAAAAACTTCCTTCCTGACTTGTTTCTTTTGCTTCTTCCCATTTTCTCCCTTGCATCATATTTATTCACCATATTCACTCTCTCCTTCCCACCACACTCTACCAGTTGGGATTTACAGCTTCTTGAAGCCATGATTGTCTTTTCCAATGTAGTGTTCTTAAGCAATAAGCATAATGCTTGACACATAGTAGGCACTTAATAAAAATGTATTTGATGGAATGGAATGGAATGCAGCTGAAGCCAGGACGAACCCAATGGAGATCCTCTTCATTCCTAAAACTCCTCATCCGGGAGGCCCACAGTGTGTGGATTGTGCTACATGTCTGGCCAGCTTGTGGTGGAGAGTGCCCTGGTCAAGGGCATGACCTCTGTTTTGATCACAAGCGGTTCTCCGCCCTTCCCTCCAGGGCGTAAATGATGGTTTTCTCCCAAGGAAGTTATTCAGGGAAAAGTGTTATCTCTGTCTTCCTCAGGGCATGTCATATATGATTAAAAACAGGAAAGCTATCTTTAAGTTTGGCTCTGTCAGGAAATAGCCTGCAGTCACCATGTAGTCTTTAAAAATGGGAGTTCTCTACTTTAAGTCTGTGGAGTATTTTGTTTCTCTTTGTTTCTTACTCCTTCTTCAAGTTTGGATATTTGGAAGTGAGTGCTACCTGCAGATAGCATGATAAATTAAAGCCAACTCATTTAAAAGTGCATCGAAAGCTCAGAGATCATTTCAATTTTTTAAGGGAAGTCAGTGGAAAGGGGGCTGGTCTTGCAGTCAAAAGAGATCTGTGTTTGAATGCCGCTTTAATCTTGCTACTGGTATATTCCAGTATAGTATAGTCAATTCATCTCTTTGAGTCCCTTGGTTTTCTTATCTGTAAAAAGAAAATAGTAATTATTTATACTCCCTGTCTCATGAAACTTTTGTGGGGAAGGCACTATGTGAACTTTATGGTGCAAAAAAAATGTGTCTTCTTATTTATTATTTAGGGCAAGTAATGTTTTTTAGATATTTGGTTCAAAGGTTTGGGTTTTTCACTGTCGTATGAAGATGTAAAGAGAGCTAGATTTGGGTCAATCAATGATTAGTGTTTATTAAGTATTATTAGCATTTATTAAGTGCTTATTATATGCCAGGCACTGGGGATTCAAATACAAGCTAAAAGAAAGACAGTCCCTGCCTTCCAGGAACTTACATTCTAACAGAGCAAGAAAACACGTAGAAGAGGCCTGAAAACACAGCAGAGGAAGGGTCTGGGGCCCTTGTTCAAAGTGGAGGTTCAAGGAAGTGCTCAAGAATTTGAGAAGGGGCCTGTAGGGGTGTAGTCAAGAGACAGCTGAGGAGATTCAAAAGGCCTGGGTTCTCATTCTGTGGTTAGTGTGATTTTGTGTAAATAATGCTGGATTTGCAGACAAAGGGAAGTTTTGAATACTGGTTTTGCCGTTTATTTATTATTGGTCAGGTCATTTAACCTCTGTAGGTCTCAGTTTCCTAATCTATAAATTAGTGCAGGTGGACTAGATGACACTAAATCCTTTATTGTTCTAAGTCTACGATGCTATGATCTTTGTACAGATGCACAGGCACGTGTAGATGTGGCCATTTGTCAGCATAGCTATTGAAGAGATTTCTGAATTGGATGGGAGGTAGTCCTCTCAAGTTCATTCTGTTTCTATTAGAATCTGTAAGTCCCTTTCTTCTCTGAGCCTTGATTTGCCCATCTATTAACTGACAGGTTGGACTACATGTTCTCTGAGGTTATTTTTTGCTGTTATTTGCTATGATTTTGTGGTGCTAGCTTCCCATGCTGTATATGGCCTTGTTCTTTTAGGCTCCTTCCATCTCTAACGTAGAACCCCATACTTTTCCTTTGTCAAATTGCGAGGTTCTATTAGCACCACCACCCAGGCTTATTTCACTGCTTCCTGAAATCCAGTTGCCCCTCCTGGTTTGGGACATTCCAGAACACATCTGTTTAAAGCCACAATGACTTGCTTTCCCTGAAGAATTCCTTTCCCCCGCCCTTTTTCTTTCAGGAGTGATGGATTCATTCCTTAAGTTTTGGCAAAGTTAATCAGTGTAATGCAAAAAGAACGAGCCTGGGTGTGCATCTCGTTAAAATTACTGTCTATGAAAGGAGAGAGGAGTCTGTCCGAGTGGAGAGACCCGAGGGGCAGAACTAAGGAACATGTCCACACCCACCATTTCACAGATCTATTACATGATAGTTTATTCAAGAAACTATTGGCAAAAGCATTGAATAAGTACTTTGGGTGATACTAACTCATTCCCCACCCATCCTGATAAAACAGTCCCTAAAGTTTAAAGGTACTCATTCAGTTTGTTCACATACTCCTGCTTAGGTTGTATGCAGCATGCAGAAATGCCAAATGTGTCCATTGTATAAAAGTTTAAAATTTGTTTTGTTTCTGTATCTGCTTTTCAGTAACCTACTCAGCCCAGGTTGCTTGTATCCACCGTTTGAGGAAACACGAGATTTTCTATCACGGGTGGTCAAGTAGAATAGACTGAGCATTCTCTGCTCTTTTCATTTTTATACATGTTTCCTTATCTATAAAATGAGTGGGTTGGGCTACATGATTCCCATGGTCCCTTCCAGCTCTAACATTCTAGGTAATTTCTTGCTTAAGTCCTATTCTAACTCCCACATTCTGTGGCTTTGTGGATTTATTTATTTTTTCCCCCAGACCTATGATTTCATTAGTTTAAGGAGCTCCTGGTGAGAAGACTCCTTCTAACAATGCAGATTTGGAACCGTCTTGTAGAAGCAAAACAGCTGCTTGAGATCACATAGTTACATATTTCATTGGTGAGACCTGAAAGAACCCAATTCTTCCTGACTTTCAGGCCATCTCTCTATCCACTATACTCTCATGAATTAACTTATAAGGGCTAAATTCTTTAAGAAATGAAATTTCCTAATATCTTTTTTTTTTTTTGCAATTTCACTGGTACTTGGAACTCTGACATCAGGCAACTTTGGGGCACTGAGAAGGGGGTGACTTACCCAGAGTTGCACAGCCACTAAATGCCTAAGGCAAGACTTTGAATAAAGTTTTTCCTGAGTTCCAGGCAAAGTCCCTATCCTTTCTTATTTTAATATTACTAACTATTTCTGTGTCACCTTTCTAAATTGGAAGTATGTCGTGATTTTTCTTCCAGTCCCTGCTGGTTTATTGGGGACTGGAGAAGATCAGAGATTTCTTGGGTTCCCTCCATAGGTTCAAGTCCCTGTCCCTCAAGAATTGCTTTTTTTTTCTTTTTAGGCAATTGGGATTAAGTGACTTACGCAGGATCACACAGGTAGTGTCAAGTATTTGGTCTGAGGCCTCATTTGAACTCAGGTCCTCCTGACTTCAGGGCTGGTACTCTATCCACTGAGCCACCTAGCTGCCCCTCAATAATTGCTTCTTCCTGAATTGCTGGGGATAAAAATAAATAAGTCACCTGGTGGTCGACCCTCTGGTAATGAGCCACTCCTAACATAGGCTAACAGGTTCTCTGTTGTTAGCATCGCCATCTGTCAGTAAGCTTTGGCATCGTGGTGATGAGGCCCAGGAGAAGGGACACCCTGAAAAGGACATCGGGTGTATCTTTACAGAGCGGTTTCTTTAAAAAATAAGTTATTTTCCATTGTGACTCATTTCTTAGGTCTAAAGAGTGTAATAACCCTGCCAGAAGGAGAAGATTTAGGTGAATGACATCATTTGTAAGGAAAGGAGAGGATATCTCTCTCTCATCTCTCTCTTTTTCTCGTCCTCTTATTTTCTCTCTCTTTCTTATTCTCTCATTCTTTGTCTCTGTCTCTCTCTCTATGTTCCTGTCTTTCCTTCCTCTCCTCTTCTCCCTCCCTCCTGTTTTTCTGGGTCCTGTAATTCCCTTGACCTAAAAGCTGTAGAAATTCTTCTTCATGCTTAGCTCAAGTCTAGTATGAGGTCATACTCTTGATATTCAAATGCAACCTCAGTTTAGGAAGGGTTCTGAGGAAGGTCATCCCCTGTTTCTTTGGAGTGTCATAGCTTAGTTAGGATGAACATGCAGGATACAGTTACCCCACCCACAGACCAGTACGTCAAATGGTAATCGAAGTGGAGATGAGCCTTTAGATGAAGCATTGTAAATAGATTTGGTGTTTTATTTTTGAAAAGGGGCCATTTGTTTGTTTTGCTGTGTATGCCTCCACAGTTCATGTTTTTAGTATTATCAGGCAGGTCTTTGATCTTACTTTTTTTTTTTTTTGAGAAAGCAGTGTAGGACTTGCTTATTTTGGAATGTGGTCAGCTTTCTCTGCTTTGTACAAGAAGCCAACAAAAGAACAACAACCAGTCAATGACAAATCACTTCAATTTCTTTGTGTAGAGGACATAGGGAAGTGGAAACTGAGACCACGAAGACAGAGATAACAAGGAGGGGGGAAGAAAGAGGGAGGGAGGGAGAGAGAGAAAGGAGAGGGAAAGGAGAGAGAGAGAGAGAGAGAGAGAGAGAGAGAGAGAGAGAGAGAGAGAGAGGGAGAGAGAGAGAGAGAGAGGAGAGACAAAAGAGAGGGAGGGAGAGAGAGAGACAAGAGGAGAGGGAGAGGAGAGGAGAGAGGGAGAAGGGGAGAGAGAGAGAGAGAGAGAGAGAGAGAGAGAGAGAGAGAGAGAGAGAGAGAGAGAGAGAAAGAGAGAGGAAAGAGAAAGAGAAAGAGGGAGAGAGAGAGAGAGAGAGAGAGAGAGAGAGAGAGAGAGAGAGAGAGAGAGAGAGAAAGAGAGAGAGAGAGAGAGAGAAGACAAAAGACAGGGAGGGAGAGAGAGAGAGAAGAGGAGAGAGAGAGAAGAGAGGGAGAGAGAGAGAGAGAGAGAGAGAGAGAGAGAGAGAGAGAGAGAGAGGAGAGACAAAAGAGTGGAAGGGAGGGAGAGAGAGAGAGAAGAGAAGAAGGAGAGGAGAAAGAGAGGAGAGACAAAAGAGAAGGAGGGAGGGAGAGAGAGAGAAGAGGAGAGACAAAAGAGAGGGAGAAAGGGAGAGAGAGAGAGAGAGAGAGAGAGAGAGGAGAGAGAGAGAAAGAGAGAAAGAGGGGAGAGGGAGGAGAGAGAGAGGAGAGAAGAGAGAGAGTGCAAGCACACAACTTGAAGATTGACTTGGCAGGCCTACAGCTTTTCTCACTTTTCTTCCCCCACCCCCACCCCCAACCCAGGCAGTTGGTGTTAAGTGACTTGCCCAGGGTCATACAGCTAGTAAATGTCAAGTCTGTGAAACCAGATTTGAACTCAGGTCCTCTTGATTGCAGGGCCAATGCTGTATCACCTAGCTGCCCTCTGGTCTAACTTTTCTTGCCACTGTTATTAAAAATGGTAGAGAATAGAAAGGAGGCCCTTAAAAATGGAGATTGAAAAGAATTAGGTAGAAAATAGGGAACGAAATACAGGCAATACCGGGAGAGGCCGGATGAGAGGAGGTACAATGTTGTGTAATATGTTAGAATCTGGAACAAAAATTTATAGGATCTGAGAATGATAATGAACTGGGGCCAGAAATGAAGAAGAAAGAAGGGGGTGGGCTTGCCTTTGGGAAATTGTGTAGTGCTTATAATGACCTCTAGCTTTTTCCTGAAACAAAAACTTATCTTTTTAGTATCAGAATTCTTCTGGTGTTGCTCTGTGACTGTGAGTCATAGAATACCATAGCCTCTGTAGGATTAAAAGCTGAGGGTCACCCAGAGGACAATGGGGAGGCATATGGCGGGTGTGGGTTGGCTGCCACATTATTACCAAGAGGGAACTGTTCAGGAGAAATTGCAGAAAGGATGTCATCAGAAACACATGTGGCGGAAAAAGGAGGTGGGTGGGTCCTATGGGAAGAGCCAGAGATGATTGATAGATGACTTCAGATCACTGATATCAACATAGGGTCAAGAGATTGAAAAGAAGTAACCCAGTATATTAGGAAGACATTGTATAGGAGAAAGAACCTTGGGTTATAATCAGAGGAACTGGGTTCAAATGCCCTTTCAACCACTTAATAATTTTGTGATCTTGGGCAAATCACTTTTCAGTCAATAAACATTGATGAAGTGTTGACTTTGTATCAGGCACTGGGCTAAGTGCTAGAGATACAAAGAAAAACAAAAACATGACCCCGGACCTCAAAGAGTATACATTCTAATGGGAAAGATAATTTGCAAACAATCAAAACAGTCGGATCAAAAATCTAGAGATGAAGATCATGGACCTAATTGATTCCTTCTTGAATCACTTGAGAAGCGTTTTCCTTCCCCCAGAAGCCTGAACTGATGTTCAGCATGATTTCTATATGTCATGGAAAGAGGACTGAATTTGGAATCAGCCACTTCTTAGTCATGCAAACACAAGCAAGTAATTTTTCTCAGTTTCTCATCTATGAAATGGGGATAGTACTTGCCCCGCCTCCTTCACAGAATTGCCACAATGATCAAATCACATAATGTGTGCAAAGAGCTTTGTAAACTATAAAACACAATGCAAATGCTAGCTGTTAAAATTATTATAATCATTTTAAGACTGAATTTGCTCTGTTTACCCTTACTTGCTAAGTCTGATATATTTTACAGGGAAGGGAGTGTAGCTCAGGGAGTTGATAATGATGGTAATGGCTCTGGACTCAGAGAACTGGATTCAAATCCTCCCTGTGACACTAGATGAGTGACCATGAGGATGTATTTTAACCTCCCTGAACCTCATTGTCCTCATTTGTAAAAAGATGGGATTCAGTGGAGTAGCTTCTAAGACAAAAGGACTTACCTTTTTGCGTCATGGCAGTCTGGGAAGGCCAGAACATGGGTTTTGTTTTTTAACTCTTACTCAAAGGAAATGCTAAATTTGAATTAGAGGTTAGTGAAAATAGAGATGTAATTGTTTTCTCAGCTAAGGATCCCCTGGAATCTATCTGTACACCTTGTGGAGCCTAGAATAATAACCTTTTCTAAGGTCTGTTCTATCTCTAGATATAAGATCCAATTGCTTTAATTTTTTTTCCCCAGTTGGCTGTTATTACAACATACTTATGGATTTTTTTCCCCTTTTTTTACAGTTAAGAGGAAAAAAAGTTCAAAGTCAGAAGCCAAGGGAACAGTGACAAAAGTCACTGGGAAAAAGATTACCAAGATCATTGGTCTAGGAAAGAAAAAGCCATCAACAGATGAACAGACCTCGTCGGCTGAGGAAGATGTGCCCACCTGTGGTAAGAGGGTGTTTTGTAAGATTTTAGATATGGGTTTATTTTCTCTCCTGTTCTGGAGGATGGCGTTTAACCTCCGATCCAGCATTTCTGTTAAGTACTTGGTTTTGGATTCACCTCATTTATAATTTGGGATAATTCTAATTAAGATATTGAACAGATTTGACCTTTGCACTATCAGTAAGATTTCTTGCAAGGTAGAGGCAAGGAACGAATGCATGGAGGATGGCCAATGCAAAGACACGAGGTGGGAGATGCCATGTGTGAGGAACCACAAGAAGGCATGTTTTGCTGGTCTCTAAATAGTTGAAATTTTGTCAATGAACCCTGTGGATTGCCAAGGGAAACTGAAGAGAGAACAGAGAACTGAGCCTTGGGGCATAGCCACATTTTGGAAGGAAGGAGAGAAAAATGGACACAGCAAAGGATTCTGAGAGGAAGCAGCTTATGAGATAGGGAAAAGGTCTGGACAAAAATATCCAGAAAATCAAGAGGGGGCTGTTTCGGGGAAAGCGGTGATCAGTGGCATTGAAAACTTCTAAGGTCAAGGAAGGATAAAGGAGATAAGACAATGAATTTGGCAAATAAGAGATGTTTGGTACTAAGTTTTGTTAGAATGGTGGTCATACAAGCCAAAATCTAAGATGTTAAGTGGCTAGTGAGGCAAGTGGAAAAAGTTTTGAGAATCTTCATGGTGAGAAGGAGCAGAGGAGGGGAATTCAGGAAGGTAATAGTCAAGGGTAAAATTGTTCTTATAATAAACTAACTCCTTTTGTGAAATAGTAGTATGAGAGGATCTTAGGAAATTTTGAGATGATGAGGGGTTGTTATAGAGAGAGAAGGCCTGGGTTCAAATCCTAACTGTTATTTACTACATATTCGTTGTTGGGCAAGCCTGGGCTTTCAGGTTCCTCATCTATAAAAGGAGGGGGGATTTACTAGGTGATTTCTTTTCCCTCTTCTCACTTGAAATCTTATGATCTTGCAGTTCAAGTATTGTCTTAGGTCCCTTCTCACTCTAATAGACTATGATTCTTTCATCATCCCATGGATTTTTAGTGGACCCAATTGGTAGGATACCAAAGCCTGGGATTCCAAGATGGAAGAGCAGATGGTGGGAGTGGCCAACTTAGGGATTGCTGTGTCAGACTTAGCAAGAGGTCAGGGCAGTAGGGGAGTTGAGATGGAAAGTCTCCACTTCCCACAGGGGGGAGTCAGGGAGTAAGAGCCTCCTGTATTTGGAAGGCTTGGCAATTAACCTTACTTAACTAATTCTAAATAAACAAAGCTTGGTTTCCATTTGTGAGCAGATAGTCAAATAAATGGTTTTGCAGAGTGTCTGTTGGAGGCACTGCTGATCACTGTAAATCAGTAGCCCTATAATTACCCATATGTATTTCTTTTAAAATGCATCATCAACATCTTTCAGATTTTGGTTCTCTTGAAATAATATCATTCTTGTATAAAATTTTTAAACTGTCACCTAATTTAGCATTCGGGGGAAGGGGGAGGGTGTAGGGACGAGGCAAACGCATCCTTTTGGATGTCGGTAAAAAAAAAGAAATGTTTTGTTTTTAAAAAGACCTATTTCTAGCCATAAGAACAGCTGTGAAGTATCAAGCAAAAGGGTGACCTCGATAGAGGCCCAGCAGACAGATCCTGCCAAACTGAGCCTGCTACAGCTGCTGCTTTGCTTCCCCACAGAGAGGAAATTCTGAACCAGTTGGGCTGATAGAAGACAGGCATACCAGAGATGAGAGGCCATGAGTTCGAAACCCAATTCTTCCATGAAATATGGTGGGAAGAGCTGGACATCTGTAGGTTTTCACTGGTAAAATGAATGTAAGAAAAACAGGGCTGGACCTCCCACTTAGAAGCCAGATCAGTGGGTGAGACTCATGAAAAAAGGGATTGTTAAGCGCTTTTAGTTACAGTATTGCAAAGTTAGAGAATCACAGAAGGGTAGAGCTAGAAGGGAAGTGAGAATAAGGAAAACAAAAAATGTCAGAGCTAGATGGGACCTGAGAATAGGAAGAACGGTGGAAACATAGCAAAGGATGGTATCCTATCAAAGAAAGTCAGAGCTGGAAGGGACCCAGAATCCCATCATTGGGAAGGACCTTAGAGCGCAGAATATTAGAACACAGAACATGGGATGTTACAGAAGAAGCTGATCTGAGAACCTAAGAAAGAGTTTAAGAACGTAACCTTAGAACATGGAATGGTAGAGCTAGAAAGAGACTTTCCAGACCAGATAGCCCATCATAAATGATTGACATGTAAAGAAATGAAACAGGACTGAGAATCAGTTATGGTCAGATGGCAGGCAAGTACTGCTTTTTAGGACTCATAGGGTACTCTATTTAAAGAATGACTGGGACTGGTCCCAGATGGAGCTGGCCTCAGCGATCTGAGGATTTCAGACCAAAAAATATACTCACAACTGACCTGCCTCACTGACTATGGTTCCTTGATGAACTTGGTACCAATAGAAGAACAATCTGAGATGTTATTATTAAGTGATTAGGCCAATTCTTTAACAGAGAGATTCAGACTTACCCTTTCAGATGATTTTGAGCACCTCCAAAATAGTTCACTTGGGGGGTGGACATAGGAAGCTACATTTCTTTCCATCATGCTTCCATTCATCAAAACTATTTTAAGATGCCTTTTGGGAAGTGATCATCTGAGCTCAGTTAACAACCACACCAGAAAGTACATCTTGACGTTTTATAGCCACACCCAAAATAAAATTCCCCAGTTATGTTATTCACCAGACCTGCCCTTTTGGCAGCTTTCAAAAGGCAAATCTTTCACCTCAGAGAGGATTGAAGTGCTCATTGCCTTCCTTGCACATAGCGTAGGGATAGAGACTATAATTTCACTGGTATAAGGAACTACTCAGTGAGGGCATTCCTTCTACCAAGGTAGGATTCACTCATAATAGGCGTTTAATAGAGGTTTATGGAATTTATTTGAATTAAGTTCATTCTTTCGATTAGCATTTATTAAGTGACTACTGTACAGTAGTAGCTCCAGTTACTGTGCTAAGCACTGAGGATACAAAGAAAGGCCATTGAAAATAATGTTCAGGGGCGGCTAGGTGGCGCAGTGGATAGAGCACCGGCCCTGGAGTCAGGAGGACCTGAGTTCAAATTTTATCTCAGACCAGACAGTTGACACTTACTAGCTGTGTGACCCTAGGCAAGTCACTTAACCACAATTGCCTTGCCAAAAAAAAAAAAAGGCAAAAAAAGGAAAATCATGTTCAACAGGTTTGTGACGTCAGTGTCCGTCCTCCTAGGGGTGCTCTGAAGGAGACAGACATCCTATACAGGTGGGAGATGTAACTACGGAGAAACAATATGTTCTCAGGGTCAGAAAGTCCTGAGCTCAGAGCCCACCTCTGACACTTACCTATGGGACTATGGACAAGTTGTTAACTTTTTTGATCCTTGTTTTCCTCATCTGTAAATGGGAGGTAAAAATACCTGTTCTTTCTCTCAGGACTGTTGTGAGGATTAGATTAGATAATATATGCATGAGAGGCAGCTTGGCTTATGTATGTACTTGTAACCCCAATATTGAGCATAGTGCCTGGCATACAGTAGGTGCTTAATAACTCCTTGTTGATTAATTAAAGTATGAGAGGCAGTGCGGTGAGAGGGTAAGAACAGGCCTCATAGGGAAGATCTCAGTTCATGTCTTACCTGGTACCTGTTGTCTGAGTGACCCTTAGCAAATCGCTTAATCGCCCTCCAAGACTATAACATGGGGTTTGAACACTAGGTACTCTTCAGACTCATCTGGATTATTGTATTCAGTTGGGAACACCCCATTTTAGGGAAAGTGTCAACAAAATGTGGAGTGCATCCAGTTTAGGGCTCTTGGGGTGATGAATCACCTAGGTGGTGCAGTAGATAGAGTGCTGGGCCTGGAGTCAGGGACATCTGAATTCAAATCTAGCCCAGTAACAACAACAGCAAACATGATGAAGGGACTGGAGGGAGTTGATCGCATATGGGGATTGTCTATAGGAACTGGGGATGTTCAGCATGGAGACGAAAAGACTTGGGGAAGCTAGGAAGGAGGGAAAAGACCAGCTGATTGTCAATGATCCTTGTCCCCAGATACACCAAAAGCTGTCATTTGGAAGAGGGATTAGTGTTATTTTACTTGGTCCCAGAGGATACAATCAGGACAAAAGAAAGGAAATTACAGGGCAGGAAGTTTCTGCTCAGGGAAATATAAAAGCTTCTCACAGTTGAAGCAATCTAAAAATGGGCTGGACTGGCTCATCAGATAATGAGCTCCCTGTCTCTGGAAATATTCTAGCAGAGGCTGGCTGTGCAATTGCCCAGGATGTTAAACAGGATATTTATATACTGGATAGAGTTTGTCATAAAGGATCACCAAAAGTTAGCTTATCACATCCTACCAAGTCATCTTACAGATGGGGAAACTGAGGCTCTCGTTCAGAGTTACAGTTATTGAGGAGCTGGAGATGCCAGACACTCCTGGGTTGGTGGTTCCAAACCAGATTAAAATGTAATGGGGAAATGTTTAGTGAAATAAACAAAAATGCAATATCATGGTGACTTGTGGTTTTCTAAATCAGTATGTGGCCAACAGAGATCATTACGTCCTTTTTAGTATCTGTTTCTATTTTTGTTTAAAACCAATGGCACAGTGGACTTGGAGTCAGAGAGACTGAGTTCAAATTCTGCCTCAGACATTAGCTGTGTGATTTTGGGCAAGTCACTTAATCCTTTCTGTGCCCTGTACAATGAGTATGTTGGACCTGATGACCTCTGAGGTCTTTTCTTCTAAGTTTGTAATCTTATGTGTGATCTAGAGCTCAGGCCTTCTGAAAGGGTCTTTTTGGGGAATAAAAGGTGACTTCTTAGGTTGTCTTCAGTTCCAAAATGGCGGGATTCTAACCTTTACCCAAGCACCAGCTGATTGAATCAATAGACCAGCTGAGGCAGATGTTGATACCCTTT